AACTGGAAAAAAATATTTTCAAGGATATATCTGATAAAGGACTCACATAAAATATACAAAGAACGCTTAAAGCCCAACAATAAGAAAAGAAACATCCAAATTAAAAAAACAGACAAAACATGTGAACAGACACTTCACTGAAGAAATATAGAGATGGCAAATAGTCATATAAAAAGATGCTCTACATCATATGTCATTAGAGAATTGCAGGTTAAAAGAACAATGAGATACCCCTACACACCTATCAGAATGGCAAAACTCCAAAACACTGATACCACCAAATTCTTGCAAGAATATGAAGCAACAGGAACTCTCATTCTTTTCTGATTTGAATAAAAACTTGAATGTCTACTTTGGACAGTTTTGCAGTTTCTTACAAAAATAAACATATGATCCAGCAATTGCACATCTTGGTATTTAGTCAAAGGAATTGAAAACTTATGTCCACACAAAACCTGCACACAGATGTTTATGGATTTTTATTCACAACCGACAAAACTAGCAAGCAACCAATGTGATTTAGTAGGTGAATGGATAAACTGTTACATCCATATAATGGAATTATATATTCAGTGCTAAAAAATGAGCTATCAAGACATGAAGGAACTGAAAATGCATATTACCAAGTGAAAGAAGCCAATCTTTAAAGTTTATGTACTATATGATTAGAATTCTATGACATTCTGGAAAAGATAAACCCATGGAGACAGTAAAATAGATTGGTGGTTGCCAATGGTTAAGGGGAAGGAGGAATAAATAGGTGGAGCCCAGAGTATTTTTAGGACATTAGAACTTTTCTGTATGATACTATAATTACTCTAATGGTGGATACATACCATTATATATCTGTGAAAGCCCATAGAATGTACAACACCAGGAGGGAACCTCTACGTAAGCTGTAGATTTTGGATGACAATGATGTGTTGATGTAGGTTCATTGATTTTAACAAATGTATCATTTTGGTGTGGGACATTGACAGTGGAGGAGGCTGGGAATGATGGGAGGATATGGAGGAATATGAGAACTCTCTGACTTTCTGCCTAATTTTGCTATGAACTTAAAACTTCTCTTAAAAACAAAAAAACTAATAGATCCTCAAGGAGAAATAGACTAATCCACAATTATTGTCAGATTTCAACATCCCTCCCTAAGTAATTATATCAATAACTGATAGAACCATTACATAGAAAATAAGAATCTAAGCACTTGAATATCAACCAATTTGACCTAATTGACACTCCACCCAAGAGGAGCAGAACACAAATTTTTTTCAAGTTTACAGTGAACATTTCCAAGAGAGACTATATCCTAATCCATAAAATAATTAAACAAATTTAACATATTTCAAGTCATACAAAGTATTTTCTCTAGCCATAATGGAATAAAATTATAAAATGAAAGCAGAAAAATCTTTGGAAAATCTTCAAATATTTGGAAACTAAATACTACACTTATAAATATTTGGAAACTAAACAGCACACTTCTAAATAGCCAATGGAGCAACAAAGAAATAAAAAGGAAAATTAGAAGTGATTTGAACTGAATGAAAATACATCAATTATATTTCTATATACTAGCAGTGAACAATCAGAAATTGAAATTAAAGCAATAAATACAACTTGCAATAGCTTCAAAAACATAAAATTGTTAGAAATAAATCCAATACAAGATATGCAAGAAGTGTACACTGAAAACTAAAATACAGTCTTGAGGGAAATTAAAGAAGAACCAAATAGATGGAGGGATAAACAATATTCATGAGCCAGAAGATTTGGTATTTTTAGAATACTAATTGCTCCCAAATTGATTCTATATATTAAATACCATATTAATCAAAATCCTATCGGGCTTCTTGGAAATTGAGAAGCTGATTTTAAAATAATTATTTAAATCGAATGACCCAGGATATCCAAAACAACTTTGAAAAAGAACAGAGTTGGATAATTTACACTACCTGACTTTAAGACACCATAATATTGGTATATCAATAGCACAGAATTGAAAGTTCAGAAATAGACCCACACATGTATGATCAATTAATCTTTTATAAGATGCAAACAACTTAGTCACAAAATGACTGCCTTTTCAATAAATGATGCTGGAATAATTGTATATCCATATGCAAAAATATAAAGTTTGATCCATATCTCACAACATATATAAAAATTAACTCAAGACAGATTATAGATCTAAATGTAAAACCTAAAACTCTTAAACATCTAGAAAAAAATGGAAGAAAACCATTACAACTTTGAGGTAGCCAAAGAATTCTTATATATAACATCAAAAGCACAATTTGTAAATGAAAGATTTATAAATTGGATTTTATCAAAATTAAGAACTCTCTCTTTGTAACACATTATTAAGAGAATGAAAATAAAAACTATAGACTAGGAGAAAATATTTGCATATCACATAAACAATAAAGACCTTGTATCCAGACTATGTAAAGAGTTCTCAAAATTCAATAATAAGAAAACAAACAACTCAATAAAAATAGCAAAGTATTTGAACAGACACTTTACCAAAGAAGATATACAGATCATAAATGTGTGCATGTAAATATGCTTAATCTCAGTAGTCAATGGAGAAATGTTTTTTAAGTCCACAATGACATACTCCTACACATCTCTTAGAGTGTCTAAAATTTAAAACACTGACCATACCAGATGTAGGAGAGGATGTGGTGTTACTGGAACTCTTATACACTGCTGATATAAATGTAAAATGGTACAAACACTTTGGAAAACGGCTCAATATTTTCTTTAAAAAGTTAAACATTCACCTAACATATGATCCAACCATTAAAATCCTAGGTGTTTACACAAGAGAAATGAAATCATATGTCCATGCAAAGACTTGTTGAACAATGTTCATATCAGCTTTAGATATAATTGACAAAATCTGAACACAAATCAAAAGTCCAACAAGAAGTGACTGGATTAACGGACTGGGGTAAACTGAATAATATATTAATACTCTTCAATAAAACAAATGGACAGGATGAGTACACAACGTGTAATTCCATTCATATAAACCAATAGAAACGTAAACAAATCTGTAGGAACAGCAAGCAGATCAATAGTTGCCTGGAGATGAGCAGGTGAAGAGAAGATGGGCAGAAGGGAAAGATTACAAAGGGGCTCAAGGATATTTTTGAAGTGATGGATATTTCATTATCTTGACTGTTGTGATAGTTTTGAGGGGTATGTATATGTTTGTCTCAACTTATCAAATTGTACATTTTAAGCTTGAGCAAGTTTTACGTATCAGTTATACCTCAATAAAGCTGTTTAAAGAGAAACAACAGTGGCAAACATATAAGTTTATCAGCAGAATTGCAGGCTTGGAATATTTTGTACCAAGTAAATTCAGGTAAGTAAATAAATATCTCTGAAAGAGCATGAATTGAAGTATTTGTTCTGTGATTTTGATACAAAAGAACAGATGCCATAGCACATACTGTTTCTCATTTTTAATAGTTATTTTAACCTTTAATAATGATTTTTAAAGTTTTTAATAAAACTTGAGGGAAGAATAAAGAGAGGCTGGGAAAAAAGCTTTATTTCTAATCCGAGATTTTTCTTATTTCTATTATGAAGTCACCATATTGATTCACAAATCTGGTTTGCCACTTTTAATTATGAAGCAAATGTGAGAAGTATTCAAGGGATATAGTTTTTCCTTCAACTTCACCATCATCCATACATTAGATCAACTTAACGTAAATAAGGAAAATCTAGCTGGTTGACTTGAGACAACTCTTAGATAATTTAGGCAATATTTTGAATGAACTAAAATCAAATCAATGATGTTTGACTACAGACTCCCTTTGCTCTATGTGCAAATGCACAAATAAAATGATATTCAGAATTTTTAACTAATTGGATTAACAAAACAAAAAGTAAAACACCAGATTGGAGGCATTTTGAGGTCCGAGCACAACTAAATGTCAGATGACTACTGCTCCCTGATGAATATCAATCCGCAGCCTAATTCTATTAGGAGCAATTCCCAGCACTCCCTGGGGCTGGCTGCCATAATCCATGTTACTCCTAGTGCTCAGTAGACTCTGTCGACTGGGAAACTCCCTGTCTCCTGCTGATCACTCTTACTCCTCTATTCTTCTGGCCCCCGCAAACCTCAACAAAAATCTTTACTTGTATAATAGAAATCAGTAAGAAATTTTTTTTTGACCAAGTTTACAATGATGTGGCCACTCCCAAAGATGAACAATGCTCCCAATATCTCAGGACGTAGGAGGAAACTGAGTACCTTTCTTTTCTACTATATGTTTCATATCAATAAAGAAGCAGGAATACAAGCCACAGAATAGAAGGGCCCTCCCTACACCAGGCCTCAGACCTGAAAAGAAACCTGAAACCTGAACCTGTTTCTGGCCCCTTTCCAACCACAGACCTTTCAGCGTTCTTTCATCCTAAACTGTGGAAGCGATGGAGCTCTCTCCTAGAGAGGAAACTCATAATCTTCCTTTGTTTATTTATTTTTTGAAGTGCCTTAAGGGAACTGAAAACACATGCAAATAGTTAAACTCCTACTGAGACTAAAATACCATTTCCACAGTTTATTAAGCATGATAATATCACACAGATTTTATTTTTAATTCATTTAAAGAGAGATTTTCATCCTCCTCCTTTCTTGCCTCTCTCTCCCTCTCTCTCTCTCACACACACATTTTATATTGCATGGATATCCTTATTATTTTGTTCTTACAGGACTGAAATTATACAAGTAGGACTCATAGCCAAGTTAGAGACTTAAAAATTGAAGAGAGAATGAAATAATTACAAGAATGATTCCTTTTAACCAGGAGTCTCTCATTTCTTTTTCTATCTCTTATAGAAAAGAAGGTTTGTGCAAGTGAATTCAAGCAAGCTAAACAAGTACAGTTAAATAAAGCGTTAAGCTCTAGCAATCACATATGAAGCATGTTTAAAGCTGATATTTCAGTACAATGTTTATGAATTGACCCAAACAGGCATGAATGACCACTGAAACAAAACTGAGCTGGTAGATTCCACCTCACAGTGCATTGGAATCATCGCGCAGCTGGAAGGACAGCCCAATCTGTGCACCGCATGCCTACCTTAGAGACGATCTCCATCTTCTAACGTGATTTATCAGTAAGTTTATCAGTACCAATTTCAATTTAGCTTTCCAAAATATTAAGCCATGTTATTTGTTTGTTTTAATTTGCTTTTGGTTTTGGTTTCCCTTGTTGTTGAACTAAAAGGCAGATGCCCACCACTTTTTGTATACTGTGCTGTCCTAGGCTCTGAAGCTTATGTTTAAGGTAAGCTTCAACTTTTCCAGATGAAATCATCAAAGCAGCATTCCGTGATGCCCAACAATCCCAGTCTCCATATTTCATCTTCTCTCATGGGTGAAAGGGCTTAGAACATCATCGTGAGGTGGTCACTACGTGGCAGGCCTATGAGTAGGCTATCTTTTCAGACTGGAATAGTTGTTTTTTCTTTCCTTTCAGGTCCCCTTGGTAATGCAGATCATTCATTGCCACCTGCTCAAGAAACTCAGAGGTCATAAAATGTTGAAAATCTAGATTCCTGTGGAAGAAACTTACGGAGGGGGAAGACAAGGGGCTATTCAACTGCCTAGGCCTTGATAGTTTAGCCCAGCATCAGATGTTACCTTTCATATGGGTCCTTAGAGAAAGGGACCCTTCCTGGTCCCTGGGTCATTGGTGCTGGTGCTTCCTAGTTTGGCTGTGCAGCTACAACAGACGACATGCAACACCAGGTATTTTCCACTCAAGGAACTTGGAAGTAGAAGGCAGAGCTCACAGAGGAAGTGTGTTGAAGAATATTGCAACCCAGGGATGCTGTTCTTCAATAGAAATCCTAGGACAATGTGTCAGCAAAGTGAGACAGAGAAGACCTCACATTATATGCTACAAATGTTCTCTAAAATAGAAACAAGATTCCAGCTCTCCATGTTCTACCATGAAGGTCATATGCTCCTTACCCAGAGAAGTCTGGTTTCTAAAAATAAGAGATAAGGTGCTGCTCTTAGGGACAGCTTCTAGTAGCACAAAATGCTCTGGGCTCTGGAGTCAGAGATAACTAAATTCAAATTATTACTATGCTTATGCTACATTCTATCTCTGATTTTGGACTGCTAAATCAATTAATCAATCTCTGTGAGTCTCTCTCTTCTCCTCTGTAACATTAGTAGAACGATAACCTGGAGGGTAGTTATGAGGAGAAAAGTAGCTAATATAGATTAAAGATCCCTTCTATAGTGCCTGTCTTTTGTAGTAGGCACTAAATAAATGTTAATTCTCCACCTTCCTAAACAAGTCGCTTTTCCTTTTCCTTTTAAAATTAAAGTTTCTGCTTTAATTATAACTTGGAGACTTTCTGGATCTAAAATCAAGCAAGAGTATAACCCTTCTGTCATCAGTCTCATTCCCAGAGTGCCATGCTTTTCCCAGCGTGTCTAACTCTAGTAGAGATCTGAAGTTAGGACAGTCTCCCAAGGAGAGATTAAACACTGCATTCATTATGGCAGCTGGAAGGCTGCATTATTGCTCTTCCAAGGGGAGAGCTTCATGGCTGTACTTAATGAATGCTAATAGTTTTCTTATCAGTGGGTAGCAATACAAACATTTTTGTGTATGGTAAGGTTAAAGTAAACCTTCAGAGTAGCTTTACAAAACTTGAAAGCTACTGATTAGTTCTTGACAAGCCTGGCTAATAACAGGAGCTCCAGGAAGGCTATATAGGTCTTGCTTAGCCAGAATACATTATTCTTCAGTGTTTTATGATTTCGCATCTGTCCTCTCAGAGCGGGGCTGTCACACAAATGCATGCAGCCTTTGTGCTTTTCTTAAACCTCAAGGCAGTTGTACTCTAACCAATGTAATCTGGTTGCCAAGTGACGAAACACCAGAAAGCTTTCCTAATCAGCAGAAAAAATGTTCACATACTTAATTTTGCTTTGCAAATAGATTCAGATTCAACTAACATTTACCAGGCACCTATTATTTAGGGAAAACATTGTTAGACTCATTCACGTATATATGCCAGTATCCCTTTAAGATTTGGCTTCTGAGGAAACTGGAACTTGGAGAGGATGTATGAGTCGCCCAAGGTCATTTTGTCAAACTTCTAGCTGACTCCAAGTCCAATGCACTCAACCCAGGCTGTTCACAGTGCATTTTAAGGGCCATCAGCCTGCTCCTTCAAGACATCTATGAGTGGGACATGGTAAACTGAGGCTGGGGAGCTCAAATTTAAACAGTTCCAAGAGATGATACTTCCTAAGAGCCTATATTCTTCAGATTTTGTAAAGATGAAGGCATACATGTCTCAAAGCTAAAAATGAGTTTTTTATATAGATAAACAATAAAGTCATATCAAACAATTTATATAAATTGTATACTGAAATAGATTTTAAATAATGTTCTCTAATGTGCAGTTATAATAATAACAGCTCAACAAAATAATTACACCTAATAGCCTTGGTCTTCCACAGTCTCTTTGACACCTCCTATGGGGGTTATGATTCAACCTGATAAAAGTTAGATAATTCATGTCAAAAAGCCCATTACTCCAAAAATCACCGAGCTAATTCACTCCAAATTTTGTAGCTTTTTTCATCTCCTCTTTCAAGAAAGAAATTAATAGGGGAAAAAATACTACTGGTGTGAAAAATCTTAGCTTCAGTTTCAAAAAGTGTTTCTACCTCTAGAAATTGAATAACTTTGGCGAAGTTACTCAGTTTCTCTGAAATAGTTCCTTTATTTTTCAAGTTTGAACGATGGCATCTACTTCCTAAGGATGTATTCTGCAAAAACATTGGTCAAATTTCAGTTTATGGCCTGGAAAACATCTGCCAACACCACACAATTAATGATTTTTCTTTTCTGTGGAGGGACAAATGAAATTAACAAATCATGACTGATTTCTATTATGTTAAAGTGAGTCACACCAAGACCTCAGCGTGGCTTTCCCAGAAGATAAATTCCACACTTTGCAACAAGTGGAACATGCAGTTCCTGCATAGTGCTTAATGTTGTTTCTTTGTAATCAAGGGCTCCGCCAGCTGACTGCCCTGAGATAAAGGGGAAGAAGTCATGAAGGAGCCCTGAGGCTGCCAATCATTTCTGTACCCAGGCAGATAATAATAGAAGTCAGGATATCTCATGGAGGAGCAGTCCCCTAGTTTGGACAAAGCTCAATGTCTGTACCCGCCCCGCCCCCACCAAAAAAAGTGGATGGCCTGGAAGTGCTTGGATGTTTGATAGAGAACAATCTCACAAGCAGAGGGACTGAAATCAATGTAAAATCTATGTAAAATCTAAATGTTGTTTAATCCTATTTTGTGCAGACAACAAAGAATCACAAGAAAAACACTTTGTTTCAACTCTTAGAGTCCCAAAATGTCTGCCTTATTGCTTGTTTTAGAACACCAAGAATACAAGAATCATCCGGAATTATGGCGTAAACTGAAAACAGAAGTAACGTGCGCACCTCCTAACTTAGTGAAGGCCGATAATTAGGCATTAAGGTAAAGGTAGTTGCTTTCTACTAATATGGAGGTGAGTGAACCCTTCTCAGGATAGATAGGTACCATCTAACTGGCCAGTCATTCTAGTTAAAAGGGGCTCTCACTATGTCACTAAGTCCTTAGCAGGAAGGGAGTTGAGCTTGCTGTAAGCTAGCCTAGAGCCAGCCCTAGTGGTTAAGATTCAGCATGCTTACCCCTGTGACCCAGGTTTCTTTCCTGATCAGGTAACCACACTGCCTGTCTGTTGGTTGTCAAACTCTGGTGGCTGTGTGTTGCTGTGATGCTGAAAACTATGCCACTGGTATTTCAAATACCAGTAGGATCACCTGTGGTGGACTGGTTTCAGCAGAGATTCCAGACTAAGACAGACTAGGAAGAAAGAGTTGGTCACCCACTTTTGCCATGAAAACCATATGAAAAGCAGTGGAGCATTGGCTGATACAGTCAGAAGATGAGAGGATGGTGCAAAAAGACCAGGCAGGGTTCAGCTTTGCTGTACACATGGTCACTAGGAGTGAGAATCAATTCGACAGCACCTTCAAAACCTAGCCCAGAGGACGCACCACCAACTGCAACATGATCTGGGTGGATCTATTAAAGAGCTGGAATTTGTAGGGTGAAGACCTGCTGAAATTGCATTTATCCTTGTGACCACTAGGCGTCTCTGCCATGAACTCAGTAACCTCTAAAGTCAAAAGCACGTTCAAAAGCACCTCAACTATCTCAGAGGTCAACACGGGCTCGAAAGGACCTGACTGGACTGTCTGACTTAACTAATTCATTCTTTTATCTCTATTCTTTCTAAGGCATTCAAGCATAGGGGCATAGTTTTTCATGACCACGTGCAAAGATCATCAATGCAGCAGAACATACATCCACAGACAAAACATTACCTTGGAGAATGCCAGCAGTCGTCAACAGCTGCCTCCAAGTGACTTTGCCACTTTAAATAGCTCCCTCGCCTTCTTTGTGCTGTTGTTAGAGGCAGTTTGGTTAAATTCATAGGATAGTGAGGCTTCCAAGAATATAATCTGCCCTGCAAACCAATAGATTTAGAAGAAACGAAACTTCTGCTGGTAGATGACAGAGTCAGGGTGTCAACTCAATCCATTAGAAAAAGTTTGTGTTTTGAAGTCCTTCCATTCTACTTAAAAGATATGGAGTTGTCATATCCTGAACTCAACTCCACTCACGATCTTTTCTCTCTTAATGAATCAACCACTGTATTATTCTTAGAGGTGGAGTCATTTTGGAAGTGGAAGAAAATTATCCTTGTACGTGTCAAAGTTTGTCAAATATCTCAAAATCTCTGGGAATGAGGATGGCAGACATTAAATTTAAGACAAATATAGAAACTTGACAATAATGCCTCTTGAGTGGCGAATCTTTCACCTTCATAATCTGCCAAAACTCAAATTTTGGAGACCTGAAACCTGAGGACGTGACAATGAAAATAGACTTTACTTGCTGCAAGAGAAACTTCAGCTTCACCACCACCATCTCACTACCATCCTTAACTCCTCTTCTCTGCCCAACTTAACCCTCAAGAAAACAAACCCGGGTCAGCAGCATATGCTTGGGGTTAGATTGCCCAATTTGCTGAAGCCTCTGAGGTAGAAATTGTGTCTAGATTAGAATCTCCACCCTCTGTTTTCTATCTAACTGTCAAGGCGCTTCCTGTCTTTGTCCAGCAGTGCTCACAGAGCCCCTTTGAAGAGGACAACATCCCGACGCTGCTGAGAGCAGATAAACGCCTGTTGTTTTACCGGGCTGGGCGGGGGAGAGGGTGGAAACCTCTTTGCCGTGCACAAAGGCAGCCTGATAATAACAAATTGCCTTGTCAACCACAAGAGATACTTAGTTATTAATGGAAATAATAACAGATTATATCAGCTTGTGCACTGTAATCAAAAGGAAGATCAAAGGGAGCTAATATTACGAACCGTTAGCGGTGGAGACATGCTAATGAGATAAAAACCACTTTCATTTCCCCCGTCCCAAACGCACCAGTAGAATAATCATTGATAATAAATAGCATCATTTAAACTTGGACAATATATTTAATACCCACAGTCCAGCCACACCAGTGTGGCTTTTTCCTATTAGATAAAATTGTTTTCAATGTTAAAAAAATACTTAATTTCATTCCGCTGGTGTTAGAGGACTAGATGATTGCGAGCCATCGAACTAATCTCAGCTGCTTCAGGCTCAACTCCCCTTGCCTTTGGTTGTGATTGCAAACATTTGAGCAGAGAGCTATTCCAGTTCTTAATAATCCAGCAAGGATACAGAGCCTGACAAACCACTCTCTGATTTGTCATTAGGAGACTATTGCTATCGCAGTAGAGTACTTCTTGTATTTCCCCAATCTGCCCCACCATTAAGTCAGCCCTCTGTTACTTTGAAGCACTTTACAAATATTAGGGTGTGCCAAGGCCATTCTCAGGAGGTACACAGGTATTTCTATCACCTTTCCTCCTATAAAGAAAATGACAAAAGAGATCACTGACCATGAGTTATTTTATTCTTACAAAATCTTGATTTGATTTTCCACATTCAAATTATTAAATTTGCCTTACTCCACAACAAACACATAATATTTGGCTAATAATTTCTATGCGTTACCAAGGATACTTAATATTCCCAACTTTCTTTACAAAAAATGAAGGTAAGAATGACTAACATAAGAGGAACAGAGCTGGCTAAGAACTCATTCAGACATAAAATCTCAAAGTGCTGACAATACACTGACTTTACCTTCCAAAAAATAAAGAAACTGAAGCCCAGAGAGGTCAAAGGCAGAAGCCATTGATTTTAGCCCCTGGCTGCATCATTTGCTTACTTTATGAACTTAGAAATACAATGATTACATTTAATCTCAAAAATCTTTGTTTTCTAAATTTAAGGATAATAATTCTTATCCTTCTTTCATCAGAGCATAAAGACAGATTAAAAGATTTCCCTTTGTAAACTGTAAAACATGCTGTGTGAATATGAAGTTATGATGCAATATTGTATATCAATCATAACAGTAAACATGCTTCAAAAGTAGGGATTGTTTTTACTTTCAATAAAAAGTGGAGTAGAGATCTTCTGCAGGAGAAAAACAGAAATATTCCAGAAGACAGAACGCAAAAGTGTTCTCAAGGAGGGATGAAATCAGAGTGGAGGGAAGGGACGTCAGCAGAAAACAAAAACAGATGGCTGCAGGGGTGAGAGCTATTCTTCCAGGCAGAGTTCCAGGGATGCTCTGAGTTCTACCCTGGCAGGTGTGGGGAGCATGACTGGGCTGTGGGTCAGAAAAACATTAATTATAAAGATTCCACTATATGAAATATTTGGACCATTTCCCTACGTTTTCTCCTCCTTCCCCCTCAATCTCTGTCCATACAGTGAAACAAGCAACAATCTACTTGCCCCATAGAATAAAGTAGACATATCAAAAGGATGTGAAGGCCAAAGACAGAACAATTTGAACATTAAAATAATTATTGAAACAGATTATAACATATTGAGTAAAGTAGGAATGCATGAGCTTGCACTGATATGAATAAATAAGGAAATAAATAAGGGAGAAAGTAAAAGTCTACCACACAGTAAAATGTCAAATAATATTAATAAGTAAAAATACTTACCAATTAGCATTAGAGTGAAAAAACCTTGCAGATAACATCTTAACCATGTGATAAAATTAATATCACCAGTAATGAGGCACAGTGTCCCTGAGAATCTTCCAGTGGGGTCAACCAGCAGCCCTGTTGTGGTATGCCTACCAAAGTTTTACAACCTGAATCTGACCGTGAGGAGCTTCACACAAATCTAGATTGCAAGCTATTCTGTGACGTAACTGCTCCGTACTATTCCAAAGGGTCAAGGTCATAGAAAACAAGCAAAAGACTGAAAGTATTTTCCAAAGCGAAGGCTATCAAAGAAATTAGACAACAAACACACAGGAATTTGGATAGAATCATCAATCTGTCAAAAAGATTTTGAGGACAAACAGCAAAATTTGAATGGGTCTTTGAATTAGAAGGTAGTATTATCTCAGTGTTGATTTTCTGATTTGAATGATAACACCATGGCTTTCTAGGAGTGTATCCTTCTTTTTAGGAAATGCACACTGAAGCACCAAGATGTAATGAGGATCCACACTGGCAACTTACTCCCAAATGGTCAGGAAGGAGAAAGCAGCAATATGTATGAATAAATAGAGTAATAAGAGAAGTGTGTCAGTTTGTTAATGCTGGTTGGTGTGCCTGGACTGAATTGTGTCCCTCCGAAATTCCTATGTTGAAGCCCTCTCCCCCGGTACCTCCAAATGCAGCTGTATTTGGAGATGGGACCTCTCAGAAAGTAATTAAGATTAACGAGGTCAGATGGGTGAGCTCTAATCCAATCTCACTGGTGTCCTGATGAGAGAATGTATGTTACTTAAAAATAATATTGACAATATATTCAAAAGAAAAATAATTAGTGTATAGAGGTTAGCAATCCAGAATAAAATCGCCTTATATTGGTATTTGAGGTAAATGTGGGGCACAACCAGCCTGCCTTCCCTGTGTCTACACACTCTAACACACCAGTCAACATGGCCTGTCCCCATTCATGGAACAATGAAGCACACAGCAGCATCTACTTTATGCAGAAATATACATCTGTAATTATTAACTTCAGATATTTTCAAAAATATATTATATCTGTAAAACAAGAACAGGCTACTACAGAAAAGGACCAATGGAAAAAAATAACAAAGTGTTGAAAATGTGAAATGTGATTGCTTAAATTAAAAACAAAAAAGTCAGTAGAAAGGCTGGAAGTTGAAGTAAAGAAAAATCTCCAGGATATAGAGCTAAAAGGAGACCCAAAAGAAAAGAGAAGATGGCAAAAATGAAATAATATTTAAGATACACAGAGTCAGTGTAGGATCTTCAAAGAGTTTGAGAAAAAGAGAGAATGGGAGGGAGGGAGGGAGAGAGGGAGAGAGAGAAAGAGAAAGAGAAGGGGAATAATGAAGAGCAAATGAATGGAGGAATGACGTTAATCAATGTAAAGGTAGAATATAATTTCCTAGGCTGGAGAGAGACGTCAATTTTTAATCATTTTAATTGCTTTAATTTTTATGTTTGAGTATTTTAAAATAAGCTATAGGCATTCTGACAAACCACCACTATGTATTTCACTATTTATTTCCAAAACAAGAGCATTTTTCAACATAGCCAAAAATTTATTACTCCTAGAAATGAATAATTTCTTCCTTTAATCTAATACCACATCAATATAAAATTTTTGCCAATTGTTCCAACACGTATGTCTATATCTCTTTCATCTAAATATCTATATCTCTCTATATCTATGTCAATTCTCATTTTTCATGGTAGTTATGCTCTATAAAGTCACCATGAACACTGACTTAGCAAACACTGAACTATTGCTTTTGCTGGAGCCTCTGGTCACAACATTTACCACCATTTGCATAGTATTGGTTTGTTTGCCAGTGTCCTTATAAAACAAGCCAGTCTCGGTAGTGTTTAAAACCTGCCTTTCTATACATAACTCTTTTTCTTTGTAACACTTAGAAGGTATTTTTGTAAGTTCTTCTGCTGCCTTCTGATCACAGAGCCTGCCTGTCCTGCAAGTTTAACATTTTTCACGCCACATTATCTTTTGAAAAGTGCAAGCCAGGCCATACTAGCTGAGAAGGGTTTTAGGTTTTCCTGACCCAGGGTAACATAGCTGCAAATATCTTTGATTCCTGGCCTCATTACAATGCTGCCCCCTCAACTTTTCTTATCTGTCATCATCTCATGAATCCACAAATTTAGCCACTTTTCCAGCGCTTCATCACACCCTATAGATGTTAACTTAAGCACTTTTCAGAGCAGCCTCATGTACAGATCCGTAAATTTCCTCTTCCTTTTTTGGATGTACCATATTTTTGATTCATTAACATTGAACTCACAACCAACAGCATTATAACTTATGCATGAATGGAACTCATCTAAGCCACGTTTTTGTTCGCTGTAAGGTACATCAGTCTTCCTGCATTTAGGACCCCAGACGGTACTCCAGTACTGCTCCTGGAAGCCATTTTAAACAGTAAAATCAGCATTTAAACAGCAAAATCATCAAAGAAAAAGCACAAAAATGTGAAAAACGTGACTTTAAATAGGAAGCAGAAAGGATGCTAGTCTACAGTGTAAGAGCTTAATGGGAAGGCAGGCACTGCCTTGTTTGACCTTAGCTGGGAAATGCCCGAAGGGCAACTCGAAGTTTCTGTTGCTCTGGTATAGCTGTGAATGAATCAGGAAGTGCTCCAACTATTGATTTGGGGGTTACAAAGAAATTTTGGCAAGTAGGTGAATTCACAAATATGAAATTTGCAAATAATGAGGATAGCCTGTGTGTGTCTATGTGTGTGTGTTTTTGCAAACTAGTTTGGCTCAAGCTTTGATATAGAATGGTGTTGCACACTTGATGAACTATATGATTTGAGTGTTACTGGACAACATTTACTCCTTTTGCAGCTCAAATTATGATATTTAATTTTGTAATTAATAACGTTTATAAAATATAGTGTTGTAAATACCATTTATTGGCTTTTTTAATGTTAAAATTAACTTAAAGACAAAACACGGATGATCTAACGACAGTATAAATGTTATAAACAGACAGTGTAAGCTCTCTCTCACAGAAATTGAATGATGGATGAGAAAGGTCAGTTAGAGAAAAGGTTAGGGATGCAACAGCTCTCATTTAGTCTAATTGGGAGTCAAGATAATTTTTATCGGGTAATCAATCAAAAAATATAAGCTAAACTACATTACAATAGTCTCCCATTTTCAGCAAAATCAGTTTAGATAATCTGACAAATCATCCATCTGAACCATTAAACATGCTGAATAAAATATACTTTTAAAAATATTTTTAAATGTATCAATAAGTAGGGAAGAAAATAAATACTTAGAGCCTGAAAACTAAATAAAAGAATCTAACAGAGGAAATCAGAACACTGAAGCTGACTTTTGCCTTAAAGTATTTGTTAAAACAGGTGAACTTGGGCTATACCATTTCAGCCAGGCAAGATACAGAGGAAAATGTACAGAGACTAGAGCCAAGGAAAGTGGGGACTATGAAGAAACATACCCAAAGGGCTGGACCTAGGCAGTTCTGGGTTTTGCTAAGCTTATACAATTTTTAAGTGTGCTTTTAAGAAAAAGAATACATATTTACAAATATAAGGTTGGTCCTATGCAAGTAAGGGAGTCTGAAACTTAAGCTTTATTGGCTTCATAAAAGAGCTTCCTCTAGCTTAAGTCTACGTAGTTTGGGAGAATTAGTGATAAACTACCAGAGGACTTCCTTGATAAACTATATTTTCTTGGTAAGTCATAATATCAAACTGCTCTCCTTAAAGGTGTGAGTGGTCAAAAAAAAAAAGTTGAGCTGAGAATTTAGAAGGGTCCCAAGTTGGTAGTGTTTCCATTTACCTTGCAAAACCACCTTCAACCAATGTTAGCCACAACTAGGAGATGATATTTGAGTTCAAAAGAAGTGAAACAAAGATTAGAGCACAAAATGTGTAAAAGTAACTTCTTAAAATAGAAAGAAAAGAAAAATCAAAGAAACAGGAAAAGACATCACAGAAAGGAAATGTAAATAGCAAATAAATATATTAAAAGATTATTGATATTATTATAATTCAGGAAGATAAGAATTTAAGATTTATGCCACAACATGAATGAACCTTAAAAACATTCTGTTAAGTGAAATAAGCCAGTCACAAAAGAATGAATACTGTATGATTCCATTTATGTAAAATACCCCAAATCATTAAATGCATAGAGACAGAAAGTACAATAATGGTTTCCAGGGTCTGCAAGGAGGGAGGAACAGGGAGTTATTGTTTAATCTACATAGAGTGGGGAAATCAATAAAAGAACACTTAACTAAACTGGAGTTGGGAAGACTTGTAGGGAGAACTCTCACGCCCTATCATACATCATCAATTACACCAAACAGGAGGAGCTGAACACTTGCATCCTCAACAAGAACTAAAACTATTTTACTACTGAAGGAAGATTTCTCTCCCCACCCAGTCAATGAGAAAAGCTGCAGCTCGGCCAATGAGAAGGCCATGCTGCCCTGAACTGTTACTTTCCCCCAATGAACTTTCATTTAGAACAGCCCCTCCCTACTCCCCCTTTATCTCTATAAAGGCACTTCCCTTCCTTTGTTTTCTGTGTTTGCCTATGGATTGCTATAGCATGAATATCCCATATTGCTATTCCTGAATAAACTCATTTTGAGATAAAATAATAGGCAAATTTGCTTTTGAACTTGACAAGAGTTTTAGTTTTGGAAGATGAAAATAATTCTGAAGGAGGATAATGATGATGGTTCCACAAAAATGTGAATGTAATTAATATGCTTATAAGTGGTTAAGATGGTAAATTTTATGTTACATATGTTTTATCACAATTAAAAATTTTTTCATTAAAATTAAGATGAGATACCTTGATATTCTAACAGAAAGGCACACTATAAAATTTGGACAAAATTACTTGCAACAGGGAACTCATATACTTCTGATGGGAGTACAAACTGCTATGTCTACTTTGGAGAGTAATTTGCCATTATTTGGTAAAGAGGATGTAAATACCTTAGGATCCAAGAATTTTACTCCTGAAGCAACGTTTTTCCAACTACATGTCTGGATGTTTTTGTGGGTTGCAAAATTAATTGAACGGGTAATAACCCATATTTTCTTCTAAAGGATAGAATAGCAACATCACATGTATTGAGCATAGATACGGTTTAATTTGTGTGTGTGTATGCATATAATGGCATTGTGATATAAAATGTTTTACTTACTGTGAGTCATTTTGAGATGACTGAAAACATTGGCCCCAGAGAAGGGGTTAGAAAACTATGGTCTGGGGTCAAACCCAACCTGGGAACTGTTGTTGCATGACCCAGGGGCTAAGGATGTATTTTACATTTGTAAATGGTTGTAAAAATCCAATAAACAAAAAACAAGCAAGCATATGTGACAGAGACAATGTGTTGCCTGCAAAGCCTAAGATATTTACAATCTGGTTCTTTACAGAAAAAGTTTTTCAACTTCTGCCTTAGAGAAACTCTTGGATGTGTGGGCAAGGAGACATGCTCAAGAATATACAGTCAATCATAATTTGTTTTTGTAAACATTGGAAATAATTCAAATGAGCATGTATAACAGAATGGATATATACATTGTTTTAATCATATAAAGAAATTCTGAAGTTCATATAAAGAAATGAAGAATTTCTTTCACTTTAAGAAATAACGTATTCAAACTTTTCTAACATGTGGAAAGAAACAGATATCCAGATTCAGGAACCCCTGAGAGTTTCAAATAAAATAGACTAAAGAGACCTGCTGGAGACACATTACGATTAACATGTCAAAAGTTAAAGACAAAATGAGAATCTTACAAGTAGCAAGAGAAAAACAACTTGTTACATACAAGGGAACTCCCATAAGACGATGTGCAGATTTTTCATCAGAAACTTTGCGGGCCAAACAGATGAGGCATGATACATCCAAAGTGCTGAAAGAAGAACACCACCAATCAAGGATACTCCACCTGGTCAAGTTGTCCTTTAGAATTGAAGACAAGATAAAGAGTTTTCCAGAGAAGAAAAAAACTGAAGGACTTCATCACCACTAGACCAGCCTTGCAAGAAATATTAAAGGGACTTCTTCAACTGAAACAAAACTAATTAGTAATAGGAAAGCATATGAAAGTATGTCTTAGTGATAAAACTAAACATATCGCTAAAGTCAGAATACTCCAGTGTAACAGTGGTGAGTAAATCACTTATAAATGTAGTATAAAGATTAAAAGACAAAAGTAGTAAAAATAACTACAGCTACAATAATTTGTTAATGGACGCATAAGGTAAAAAGATGTAAATTATGACATCAAAAACATAAAATGTGGGGAGCAGGATGACTAAAAATATAGAGCTTTCATATACATTCAAACTTAAGTTCTTATGACCTTAAAATAGACTGTTATAAATGTAAGAAGTTGTATATAATCCTCATGGTAACCATAAGGCAAAAACCAATAATAGATACACAAAAGATAAAGAAAAAGGAATCTAAGCATACCACTACAGAATATCATCAAATCACAAAGAAAGAAGCAAAGAGAAGAAGAAAGGATCAAAGGAGTTATAAAACAGCCAGAAAATAATTAACAAAATGGCAATAGTAAGTCCATATCTAGCAATAATTACTTTAAAAATAAATGTCCTAAATTCTCCAATCAAAAGACATAGTGGCAGAATAGATTAAAAAACAAGACCCAACTATACGCTGCCTACAAGAGGTTCATTTCAGTTTTAAGGACACCCACAGACTTAAAGTGAAGGAATGGAAAAAGATATTCCATGCAAATGGAAACCCAATAAAAGCAGAGGTAGCTACATTTATATTAGACGCAATAGACTTGAAGCCAAAGAGTATAAGAGGAGACAAAGAAAAGATTCAACCCAAGAAGAGGATGTAACATTTTTAAATATCTATGCACCCAACAAAGAAATACCTAAGTGTATAAAGTAAATATTAACAGACCTGATGGGAGAAGTAGACAGCAATGCAAAAATAGGTGACGTCAATACCCCGCCTTCAACAACGGACACGTCATCCAGAAAAAAATCATAAGGAAGTAGAACTTAAATGTTCACATTAAAAAAAGGTAAATATGCAAGGTGATGGCTGTGTTAATTAACTAGATGGTGGGCATCCTTTCACAATGAATATATGTATATCAAACCCCCATGATGTACATTTTAAATATCTTCCAGTTTTATTTGTCAATTATACCTCAATAAAGTTGTAAAAAAAAAAGGTACTTCTATACAGTAGGAAAAATGAAAGAATTATAACCATCTAGGTGAAGCTCAGAGACAAGTTGAGCAGCAAACGCAAGCTGCAGAGAAATGCATTCAGGGTAAGTCCACGCACATAAAGTTCAAAAGCTGATACAGATTATATTATCTAGAAGCACAGATATTTGGTAGGATTACAAACCAAGCAGAGAAAGATAAACAATGTATAGTGCAGAATAGGAGTTACTTCTGAAGGGATCAGAGAGGGTGTGGGATTGGGGAATGGACATACAGGAGATTTAAAAATTGTACATATACTTATACATTTCAGATATTTTCACACATTTTTTTCGGTTTTATTCATTATTCAGTAAAGAAGAGGTTCTAATAAAAAATATTAAAGTGATTATTGAGAAAATTTTAAGTCCAATAACTAACATTGGAAGAAGAAACAAGAGGTGTTTGAGGGAGGCTAATGCACACAGGCTAAAATTCTCATCTTTTATGCCAATGAAGGAATCTGATAAATTGAAATAAGAAGGAAAAAAATTATATTTGTAGGTGTGGCAAAAAGTTCTAGAACCAAAAGTAGAAAGAGTCAAAAGTGGTTATCTCAGAGCTATTAGACTAAGCATGGAGAAGTTTGGGCAGGAGAATTTTCTTTTCATTGTATACCTGTCTATTATTTTTTAAACCAACTTCATACTTTAATTTATATTTATATACACACACACATACACAGGTGTACAAATACAGTTATACAGTTGCTTTAAAGATATTATTACTGTTAAAATTTTCAAAGTAAAAAATGTATCTCTATATGGGCTTAGACGTAAAAAGAATCTATTACCTTCGATATTGACTGCTAACATTAAATCTTTAAACTTCCGGTGATCAGATCTTCATCTATGGAAGCAGATAAAGCTGCCTCTGGAGGTTCTCCCTGTGTCTGCTCATGGCCTGCTGGACCTCTCTGTTGACCTTTCTGGATGTGAATCCACTTCCTCCTGCCCGATGCCTCCTCCCCAACCCCCATTTCTGTGTGACCAAAACGTACAGTCCTCTAAGGCTCAAGTCAGCTGTTACTGCAACCACAATGGTTTTCCAGTTCTACCCCAGGGTGTTTAGACCCCCTCCTTCAAACTACAGAAGTCCACGTTCTTCCTCTTTTAGGAGATATTATACTTTCTATCTCAAAAACAAATAAAAGTGACAAACCAAAACAAAGCACCATTTATATAAATGTTTCATCTAGTTTTTTAGATGTTACACTACTTAAAGACTATGACGGTTGATTTTATCTGTCAACTTGACTGGGTCAGGAGTGCCCAGATCTTTGGGTCAACATTATTTCTGGGTGTGTCTGTGAGGGTGTTTCCAGGTGAGATTCGCATTTGAATCAGTGGCCTCAATGAAGCCCATGGCCCTCCCCAGTGTGCATGCAACTTATCTAATCTATTGACGGCCTGACTAGAACAAAGGCTGGGGAGAAGAGAACTAAGCCCTTCTTGGCCTAACTGGTTGAATCAGGCCTAGTCTTCTGCACTAGAACTGCGATTTACACCATCAGCTCCCCTGGTTCACAGGATAGCTTTCCTGGGTCTCCAACTTGCAGGTGGTAAATCATGGGACTTCTCAGTCTCCACAATCACATGAGCCAGTCCTTATAATAAATCTCTCTCTCTCATTGTGCTTTAATAGGAACTTTTCCTTGGATAGAGAATGTTTAATGACTCTCTACCAGGAAAATTCAGAAGGATTCAACAAACCAAGATGAATGTGACCTGAACAAAGCTATCTGCAGCCCTTCCTTGGAGGACTAATCAGGCTCTGTATGACTTTTCCTTTGAGAGCAAAATCCAGTTGACATTTATATATCTGTTTCTTTGGGCATGTAGGCTACTCAGGATAGATTCACCAAAATTTAGTAAACCTTATTTCGAAAGCCATAACTGATGAGGATTTTTAGGCTGCTTAATTTTAAAATGGCTTATGATGAGGATTTTTAGGCTGGTTAGTTTTAAAACTAGAGATGAGATTCAGGCTCCAAGGAGTGGAATTTGTTTGCCCCTTTGTTGGGAAACATTTACATTTCTAAGGGAAACCTCTATCTGTGAAGATGCCTCCCTCTCTGTGCCAGGAAGAAGGGGGGATGGTCTTATCTCTAGAGGCTCTTGGTCAATGCCAGAGGCAAGAACTTAAGTTGGTTGCTGTCTGGCAATCTCATGTAACTGGTTTAGGGTGGTGGTGTCTAACCTTTCTAACCTTTACTTAATCCGATTTGATTCTTGTCTAAAAGTCATGGGATCACTCAATGACCAGACCCCACCCGCACTGATACCATTTTAACTTTTTTCATGTTCTTTCCTTTGTCTTGTAAAGAGATGAATCATATACCTATGCCTTATAAAATTAGCCCTAACCCTCAACTCGGGGCAGCAGCAGGAGCTCTGACTGCC